TCCGAGTGCCAACCGATATATTTCGATTTTGCTTCGTACGCCATATCAATCCGAAATTCACGAAATCATCTACTTAAATGATGAACATAATATGGCAGTATTACTTTACAGGACTTGACTAGAGAATAGAGGGGAGTATTGCCGTTAAAGCTTGAATTTGAATAAACAATGAAGTTGGATAATTGAAGAGCGGGTTAAGTAATAATGGAATTAATGTCTATGGAACTTTAGATATCTTCTATGAGCAAATAGTGGTGCTATTGCATAATGAATACCCTCGAACAATTTTTAAATATAGAGAAATACAAATTGAAATTATTATTGAATAATTGCCGTTAGTAATCACTAGGGTTGCAAATGTTTTGCCTCAAAAATTTTGGATAAAAAATTAGATTTTTAATTTTCAATTTTTAATTTCGAATTTCGAAATAAAAAACTAAATTTTAAAATTTTGAGAGAAAAATATTAAAAATTAATTTTGAATTTAATTTTTATTTACAATTTAATTAATTTCTTAATCCCAAAATCAGAATTAAAAATGGAAAAGTGAATTTTTAATTCAAAATGTTTGGGATTAAAAACTGAAGATTCGAAATTTCATTTTTTAATTTAATAATAAAAGCTTAAAACGGAATATTTAATTTTTAATCCCAAACGTTTTGGATTAAAAATTGAGAAAATATTTTTTAATTTAAAAATTGGAGTAACAAATAAAAAAAAATATTTTTAAAATAAAAGGCTGGAATGACAAGGGATAAAAAAGGAAAGAATTGCAAATTTCTAACACTATACTTTTTGAAATAATATTTAGTTTAATAAATACGGCAAAAACAGCTTTTGATATTTTACTAAAAATTCACTTTCCTTTTGAAAAGATAACCAAAATGGCCGAACACGAAATACGTAAAGGCGAAAATATGTGAATCCTAAAAAAATAATTATAATAATAAAAATTATTTACGTTGAATGTAGTATCGGTAAATGTGTATTAAATACAATCATTTTAACTTTTTATTTCTTTTCGCCCTTGAGCATATTGAAAAATTATAATAATAAATGTAAACAAATAATTTCGGTTTTATAGTCGAAATCTATGTATTTAAATGTTTTTATTCATTTACTCTTTTTTGTAAATAATAAAGAAACCAAAACTTTTAGTTTTGTTGTCGAATAATTATGTATTTAAATGTTTTTATAATTTGCTGTTTTTGCTTAATTTTGGCCCAACATGTCTTACGTATCGCAATATGTACATATATGTATATTTCCAAATAACTGCTGATAATTTCTACAGTTTCTAGCACTTTTTCAATGTTTATCAATAAACTTAAAATACGTAAAATATAAATCAATATTTATATATGTATATAAATGTTTGCGTTCAATAATATTATAGTAATATGTAAAACTATAAACTGTTAGCAAAGTGGCAAATATAATAAAATCTTTTAGATCATTTAAATTAATATATGTATATACGAAAAACTCAATACATGCATGCATATATGTAAATTAAAGCAAAATATATATGTACATATATGCATATATTATATGGATGTATATTAGGGTGTTCGTTATTTCCCAAGTTGTTTGCGTTTTTTGCAAACACCCGCTGAAGTAAGCGTTTTCAACGGGCGTTTGCAAAAAAAAAAAAATCAAGTTTGGAAATACGCTAATGTATATTGTGTATTTAAGGTAAGCACAAATATTGTTCTACGTATGCACGTCACTAAATATTTGTATGCAAGTAGGTATATATATGTACGTCGTTATATACATATGTATTTTTCTTTGTTTTTGTTGTAATGTATGAATGTATTAATGTAAATGCCTACGACCTACAATGTTACGTTGTACATACATACATTGGATTCTTACAACAGGACATATGTATTTTTTAATGTATTTGTTTAATAATATACGAAAATTTACTTAAGAGTGATTCATTACTTGATCTCTTATACAGAAAAATATAGCTGTATATATATGTTGTAGCGAAAAGCACAGGCGCATCCACCACACAGACAATAAAACATGATATACAGTGACACTCGGCAATTAAGGAAAAAAAATACAAACTAATAGAAAACAAATGCGAGCAATATTGCTTGCAGCACGCACATCATAAAGGTACCTAGGCAAACAGCAACAATAACGCTAACGCAATATATACCGTTATACATCTTTTGTTTTTGTTCATTTGTGGTTTCTATACGTTTGAGATCTGATTATTTTTCATTAAATTCTTACAAAATAATAACACGTATTCTTGTACATATGTAGTATACATATGTATGTTTACACAAGGACAATACACGTTAAAAATACAATTACAATACAATCATAGTGTGAGGAATAAGCTTATGCAAAAAAAAAACTTAAATAAAAACACTGATATTGGATGCATAAGCGCCTAATAATGCACCTTCGAAACAGTTGTAACACTGTTTAACAAATGTAGATACTACATTACATACATAATTACATACAGTAGCAAACAAATAAAAATTAAATTGTATTGCAAAAGTCTTATTCATGTTTTTGATTTATTAATTATTTCACGTTTCTATGAAGGTAATTTGGCATTAAACTTTTTAGCAATTGCTTTCAATAATATAATTACTATACGATGAGCACCACATACAGATATCCACAAAAAAATAGGAGTGACATCATAAACAACACGAATCTTTAAACTTTTAATAAAAAACATGTTTTAAGTATCAAAGATTTTGCACAAGGCATTCACTAATGATATATTAATATTTCCGTAGTCCATATATTTCAATTGAACGTAACGAAAATTCGATATCACAGCTTATGTTAAATAAACTAAAAATTAGTTCCACATAAAATTAGGAGTAGTACGAAAAAGGTTTTAAATTTAAATGATTTCAAACCTTTACTGAATATTAAATTAATTCATATTTCTTTGAATAGCTTTGGTGTTTTTAATAGAACAACACACTTACTGGGGATAGGGTCTATGAGATCCTGGCAATGTTGAAATTATAATATTTCCCAAATCACTTTTAATAACTGCCGAATTGGTTAGTTTTCGTCCAATAACACTTCTTTTATTATCTGTTATCTGAACAGACTGAGACATAACTTCAACTCCGTTGCCTCTACATCATTTCTTTGCACACCACTGATCTGTTTGTGGTCATTATCTTCTTGATATACCCATATAAATGCTATATTCCATCATCCATATTTTAACATATGCCACTTGATCCACGAGACTTTCACTCAAGAGAATGGTTCGAACTCCACTATGTGAAAAGCTACCCCCTACCATCGCCAAGTTTGACGGTTTTTGTTCTAAATCAGGGATTATTTTCCATGTTAGGGGAACACCGCACCACAACATATTTCGCTATTTAAACACGGCCAGGAGACATCTTCTTCTCGACCTTCTGTAGAACACTTTCCTCTACCCACTGAATTAAAAGCCAAGGATAAAATTTACCATAACTAATTCGAGTTGCTTTTAGATTATGAAACTCTACTTACTATCCTAATATTTTTTTTGCGAATATTTTTTAAATTAAAGATTATTATAGTAAGGAAATTTTTAACACTCCTATTTTTTTTGTGGCAAGCAATTTCAAGGGTATCCGAGAACTAGTAAAACTGAACGATAATACAGAACATCACATTAAAAATTAGTTTTATCTTTTAATGTAAATATCCTGTTAGCAGTACACAGCTATTGTATCTCGTTATTTACATGTGATCCAGAAACGTTATGTACCCAAATATAATTTTCATATTGGCACTCCTATTATTTTGTGGACAACTGTATATATGTATGTACATTTAAATATAAAAACAAGAAAAAATTATAAATACAAAAAATTTCTTTACAAGAACTTAATTTTGGTCCACCTGTTTGTATGGCAGCTATATGCTATAGTGGGCCGATCTAAACAATTTGTTTGACATTGTAGAGTTCTCTTGGACAATAATCTATGCCAGTTTTCGGAAAGATATCTTGTCAAATAAAAAAAATGTTCCATACGGAAACTAGATTTTGATTGATCAGATTTTTATATGCTATAGTGGTCCGATCTGAAAATTTTTTCGGATATTATAGTGTTGTTTTAGACAATAATCTATGCTTAATTTTTTAAAATAAATCTTCCCCAATAAAAAAGTTTAGTCGTTCAGTTTGTATTGAAGTTATATGGTATAGTAGTTCCGATTCCCACAAATGAGCAGCTTCTTGAAGAGAAAAGAACGTGTGCAAAATTTCAGATCGATATCTCAAAAACTGTGGCACAATTTCGCTTATATACAGACAGACATGGCTAAGTCGACTGAGGTCATCATGCTGTTCATTTATATATATATATAATATATATATATGTATATACAACGCTTCCTTCTGGGTATTTCAAGCTTCGTGGCAACTTAATATTCAAATATATTTTACAATATTCAATTGTTTAAATAGCAAAATTTGTGAGTTTCCATTGTGACTGTTAAGCTAATTGGTTTTATTTTGCAGAAAGCCAAAAGTTTCTTTTACCAAAAACTTGTTACAATTTTAGAATAAAAAAATAATACGTGCAGTTACAGCACAAACATCGGAAACTCATGTATTTTTATGTGTGGTTACAAAATATTCATAGTTAGAACGCTTGTTTTTTGATGAATGCCTTTAATACTGTGGTGTCACTTATTAATTATATAGTGTCGCAGTTGAGTTTTACAAAAGTTAAGAAGTTAATTTTAAGTGCTTTTCAAATTATCTTATATTATGACTTAAATTTGTTGTTTGCATAGACCGCAACAACACTTTAATTAAATAAATTAATAGTTAAAGTTAGTACAACTGTATATATATATGAAATATATGTATCAATATAATACTTCGTAAATTGAATTTTTAACGAGTCCAAGTTGGGGTGTTTGCTACAGCTTAGAATGGTATTAAAAAAAACGTATATTTTATACAAATATTAAAATATTTATGTGTTCAAAAAACCATTGCATAGAATTTGATTTGTATTTATTTATTTTTTTATACACTACTACATTCTTTACGCATATCAAATGATGTGTATGCCTTTTGTGATCACTCTTATCTTATAATCTAAAAGCAATCTTCATTTTCTGTCTTTTCGCGTTTTTGTTTGCATTTTAAGTATATCTTGCACTGTCTTTGCACTTCATGCATTCGTGCACTATTTTTTTATAATTTTTTATTTTCTCTTTTTAATTTAGTTTACTGGATTTGCCATTTTTAGTTTAATTTCACTAATGAGTTTTCTGCAAGAATTTGTTTTTTTTTTCTAAACGCTAAAGTATAAATATGTGCACGAATAGCGAAAAAATGTAATACGTATATTCTACGAGACGACATAAACGTTCGCTTTTTTATTTATTCACATTTTTCATATACGCTGGTTGCTTCTCGTGCATTTGCTGCTTGTATTCGTAGTATTTGTATCGCCTTTTATTATTTAAATTTGCTGTATTAATTTGTTTTTGGCTAATTAAATAATATTCACATATTATTTTTTTATTAATTTTCGCCGACACTGAACAATTTCGCCGCGTAAAACGGAATAAACGTTCACTTTTAATGCTTTTTCTTTTATATTTGTTTTATTACTATATTTTCTTTTATGTATAGAATTTGCTAATGAAGAAACAACTTTGAAAATGGTAAATGGAATTTTGATATAAAATTTACGTACTTTTGTAACTACTTTTGCTTGTTTTACTTCATTTGCTGAATGCTCGTAAGTTATAGGTATTACTATTGTATGTAAGAACAATGTTTACAACACAGGAAAACATTTAAAATACTTGATTTATCTTATTAGTTTAGAAAATAATTTTATATGACGACCACGACCACGACGAAGATGAAGAGTGCAATTTATATATATGTATATGTAACGAGAATCACAATGAAAAATATGCCAAAAATTAACGGCAACGTGCTTTAGAGTTAGTTAATTTGTATGCTTAATTGATTGACTGACTGAGTGCGCTGAACATGCCTCAGCAAGTGTTGTTTACGAATGTCTGTCTCAACGATTAACCACGTTTTCGCGTATTTAGCTCAATTTAGTTGACTGGATGACTGGTGAAATGGCTTTGTTTTATAGATTGTTTTAGATTTTTTTAGTGTTTTTTTACTTAAATGCACTGTGTCTTAAGCGCCATCGAAAACTATACCCACTAATTAATATTTATACCGCTTGATCTGGTTGCCGTTCCTTAAATTTAAGCGTTTCCTCAAAAATCAAAGTTTTTAAGGTTTCTTTTGGAAGATCGTCTAGCTCCATGCTGATGCTGAAAGGCACCTCCGCCACAGGCTAAATGAATATGGATTTTTTTATAATTTTTATTTATTTATAATTAATAAAAATAGTACACACCTCATCGCCCGGATCGTAATACTGTTCTAAGTATGGATGGGCTAACGCTTGTTCAACGGGTATTCGATTATGCGGATTAAACGTCAACATTTTGCCCAATAAATCCAAGGCTAGTGGATCCGCATTGGGGAACAGTCGGGACCATGGTACTTTTGGTTTGAAAGTCAGCGATTCCAAATAGTTACGAGCCTGTCAAGATTTAATACATATATACATATTATTTTCGTAAATGAAATATATATTTTTGTAAAATAAAATATATAGAGTAAAATACGACTGCTACTTACCTTTTCATTTATAATGCACTCTAAATCTTCTTTTGAAGGTGATCCTAATACGCCTAAAATATGATTCAATTGATCCAGATAGTGCTTGCCTGGAAATATGGGACGATTGCTAAGCATCTCCGCCAATATGCAACCAACCGACCATATATCGATAGATTTCGTATAACCCTTTGAGTTTAGCATTATCTCGGGAGCGCGGTACCATCTTGTTGCAACGTATTCTGTCAAGAAGCCAGTATGATCGTGATCCGGATCGGCCACACGTGCCAAACCAAAATCGCAAATCTGCGGGGTTGAAGAAAAATTAATGAAAGTATATATATATATTTACAATTTAAAATTGTTATGACGCGATGAATAAAAAAATCGCTTCTGTAGACAAAACTGGTTTAATTAAGAATTTCGCGAGTGATTGTATTATATAATGGAATCAAATTTGGCAGTCAAAATATTATTACATTAATTAATGTTAAAGATCGTGAAGATATATTGTCAAATAAAAAAATTTTCATGGAAGAACTTGCTTTCTGATCTTTCAGTTTGTATGGCAACTATGTGCTATAGTGGTTCGATACTGAAGATTCCGACAAATGACCACCTTCCGTTCCCATGACAGTCGGGTCTAAGTAACCGGAACGGACCCGGATTTTTATCCGGCCTAGTTCGTGTGTATGCAGACGGATGGACACAACTACCATAAATCGAATTAGGTCGCTCTGATCAATTATATCTATATATATTTTATAGGGTCCTCGAAGTTTCCTTCTGGGTGTTAAAAACTTAGTGGCAAACTTAATATACTCTGTTCATGATAAACAAATTTTATCACTAACTTTATCTTTTCTGCAACATAAAAAGCATAACTTTGGAAATATTAATTTTACTCACTTTAAGATCACAAGTGGTATTCAGCAATAGGTTGCTGGGCTTCAAATCACGATGTAATACATTCGCCGAATGAATGTACTTCAAACCTCGCAATATTTGGTAAAGGAAATAACAAATGTGATCATTGCTAAGCCTCTGTAAATATATATAATAAAATAAGAAGTGATACTTAAAAGTATAATTTGTCTTTATACATACCTGAGTTTTAAGTAGTTTGTAAAGATCAGTCTCCATTAAACACTGTACAATATATACATCTCTCATCTGTTCTATGCTATCTACACGCAATATATCTCGAATATCAATTATCTACAAAATAACAACAAAAAGTAACATACAAACGAGTGATTAGTAATCATTTTACAAATAAAACTATGAGGTGGTGAGCCATTATCGATAGAAATTGCAACCTGGGATCGCTTACTCACATTTTCATGTTTAAATCGGGTTAAAATTTTGATTTCTCTCAACGTGCGCTGACAATAGGTTTGATGCTCGAATGGCGAAATTTTTTTTATAGCAACTTTTATATTTGTTAATGTGTCCAGTGCCGACCTATACGAAAAAAACATGTTATAGCTAAAATGTTTATAATCGAAGCGAAAGTAAACAAAATATGCAAATATATGCTGCGACAGCTTGGGCTTGTTGATACCACTTTGTAAGTTTTTTTTTGCTTTAACATTAGCCACACCCTGTGCCTTCGCAGGGATTTCAGGTATGAGGTTAATGCAGTGAAGAGTTATTGAATTATTTGAGCAAATATTTATACTTGTTTTACTTACACTACCATACCGTAGGCACCTTCGCCAATATAAGTCAAGTCCCTGTAACGAGGTCCAACTTCAAAAATTTGTGACCGTATGATTTCCGCATTGGGATTCGAGGTGGCGTTCACAGCCGTCGACGCTGCATTACTATTGGCATTGCCAGGGACCGCTGCAGTCGCAGCGTTCTTTGCAGCCGGAACTGAACCATTGTTTCCACCAATTGGACCGGTGGTGGACTGTGTGCTACTTGCCGCCTCTGCCATATACGCGCTTGTTCCGGTGCGATTTATTAAAAGAGCGTAAAATTCACAAAAATTATGCGACGCAGTGCGCTACTATACGTATGTATACGCACAATTATGTGTATTGAAAAAATGTTAAGCGAAATTCGTCACCACCAGTTGGCAGGTTCGGGCTGACTTTCTTAACATACTTTTCGCACGACCATTCATTTTTCCCCACATTCTTTTAAAGCATTCGCAAGCAGGGTTGTATTGACAATATTTGACGTTCGTGATTTTCATGAAATCAAATGCAAATGAAATCTTTCTATGTATTACGATTTTAGCATTACATAAATATTGTTGCTATATATTAAAAAATTATATTAATCAGAGTTGCGAGTTGAGTAATTTTAGCCGGTATTTAGGATTGCAAATTTTGTTCCATTATTTTGTTTAAAATTCCTTTCATGCGTTCACCATATTATATTTATTCTATTAGCACGTATATTCAACGTCGTCCATTTAAAAACAAATAGCGTTCATTTGCTTCAAAACAGCTGTTTATTGGCCTTACTCATCAATGACGTGAATTTTCTGTTTTTATTAACTTAGATCCCTGATAAGGTAAATAAAACAATTCAAAGTAATGTGAAGAGCGGTGTATATTTCTCATTTACAAAAGGGAAACAAACGTGACGATAGTAGAATATAGTGAAGTGAGTAAAATTATAAAAGTGCACATTAGTGATATTAAATAAATTTATATTTTATGTGATTCCCCACTTTCATACAAATCGTATAATTCAGCTCATATCATTGTTCCACTTTCTAATTACCCGAACCACTATTTCTTCATTTTTCAACTGATTTCGTTTTCTCCTTTTCATTTTTTTATTTGAAAAAATTTGTCTCAATTTTAGTTGTACTCCAGTTAACTTATTGAAATTAACTAAAACTAAAAACCATGGATCAAAAACCCCAGATCTACTCCAAATATGCCATCCTGACGCGCACAACTGAGATGCGAATGCATATTTCTGCTGAAGTGCCCTGTGATCGTCCTTCTGAAGTACAAACATTTACTATGGTGGGTGGAACACTCATAAAAATGTTCCAAAGTCAAACGCCAGTGGAAGTTGCAGGCTCCAAAAAATTGAGTACAGTACAAATACTTGATCTGGTGCGTCAGGAACCGATATATGAGAATCTTTATGAATGTCCACAAGAAAATTTGTTGAAAGTGAGTGAGGCGTTGTGGCCATATGTAATTGCCATAATGGAACCAGAACGGCGATTACAGTTGGTAAAGAAGGTTGAACATTGTAAATGGATAATATACCTGAAAAAGAATGATTTAGTGCGTGTCTCCGGTGCGTCGTTTGGGAAAAAATCGACTTTTTACGACTGCATCATTCGATACATTGGCAACGTTGCTGAACTTTATCCCGTTGGTTATATCTTCGGTCTGGAGTTGCTGGTATGAAATGTGAATTTGTTTATGTGTGATAATTCACATACAAAAAAGGAATTATGTGATAGTAATTTTAATGATTTTTATATCGTGAACAGGGTATATTAAGCTTGCCACGAAGTTTTAATACCCAAAAGGAAACGTCGGAGACCTTATAAACTATTGATATAAATGATCAAAACGATGAGCTGAGTTCGATTTAGCCATGTCCGTCTGTCTGTTTTCCCGTCTGTCGGTAGTCGAACTAGTCTCTTAGTTTTTGAGTTATCGATCTGAAATTTTGAACATGTCATTTATCCCCAATATCGGACCACTATAGCATATACGTGCCATACGAATTAAACGATGTCCTTTTTTATTTGATGAGCTATCTTCACAAAATTTGGCATGGATTATTATTCAAAGCAATGGTACAATCTCTGAAGAAATTGTTCAGATCGAATTAGTATAGCATATTTCTGCCATACAAACTGATCGATGAAAATGCAGTCCTTGTATGGAAAACGAGACGAGATTTAGTCACGTAATTTAGCAGTTCTTATTATTCAAAGCAGCGGTACAATGTCCGAAGAAATTGTTTGGTTATTGTATATAGCTGCCATACAAACTGTTTGATCAAAATTCAGTCCTTATGTGGAAAATTTTATTTAACGAGATATCATCACGAAATTTGACATGGATTATTATTCAGGGCAACAGTACAATCTTCGAAGAAAGTGTTCAGATCGGACAACTCTAGCATAAAGCTGCCATACAAACTGACCGATCAAAATCAAGATAAAGATTATACCCTTTTATGCTATAAGAAGTGCACCTGTGAAGGGTATTATAGCTTCGATGCAGCCGAAGCTAATTACATTTTCTTGTTTTAATGGTACATTTGGGCTATGATTTTAAACGTCTACCTTTATCTTTTTACTTAATATAAGAACTAATAATATTTGGTATAATTTACTCAATTAAAGAAAAAAGAAAACATATATTGAAAAACTGTACAATATTGTTTTATAGAATTTAAAATAAATTTTATAGGAAAAAATACGAATATACTAAGCATATTATTATATAAAAATATAATACTTTATTATAGCACTTAGACAACGGCTTCTCACCACAGTCCGATGACATTCCTTACTCTATAAAATACATGCAATGTGATCCGACACTATCCATATTCTCAACAGCGGATAATCTACTGCAGCTACCAAGTGAGGTCAAGAAAAAATTTTCTGTGCAAAATATCATCGGAGAGACTTTAACCAAAGTTCGTACTGCTATTGTACCATCGACTTGTGCTAACGGCGGGGGCGGCGGCGGCAGCAATACAAACTCCTTACGTAGACAAAAGAAGCCAAAGAAGAAGGTAGCCACTTCACAATTTTATGATATTCCAAGTCCTCCAACTGCTGAAGACGCTAAACTAGTTCCAAACAGTGGGCTCGAATTAAGTCAATGTCACGAAATGGAGCGGGACAGTAATAAACCGAAAAATTTGGATGAGTTAGATAACGGCAATCAAATTATATCGATAGAAAGTGATGAATACAAGCAAAGTATTGAAAACTATGAACGTAGCCTGGAAAGACAACGTAACACTACAACAGGAAATGCAACTACCACTGCAACAGCACCGGTAGGAATATTAAAGCACAGACATCCGCCTGCTGCTGCAGCAAGTAGTGTAGATGTTACTAATAATAAGGATGTTGCTAGTGGTACAGTGGTGCACCCACTAAATCTAATGAGTATGGAAGATCGCGATATAATTGTTATTGATCGTGCCGATATACGTGAGTCTACGAAAAATGAGTCGAACGTTATTGTGGTGGACAAAAATATGCAAAAAGATGTTGATTTGGCTGAATTATTGGGTAGCAATTGGCCAAGCAATGCTGGAGGCGCAGCTAGTATACTAAATAATAAACAATCGACGAAACAACAGCACACAACTGCTGGCACTAACATCGATTCAGTGCAAACAAAAAGTGTACGTAATAAATCACCAAATCCTTTGACACACTTTGGTGGCATTAAGACTCCAGGCAATGTTGCTATGGATGGTTATATTGCCGGTGAGCCGTCAAGCGACAGCATCGGAGCAAATAGTAAGTATTTCGCATTGTAAAGCGTTCGATTTCTGCCGATTTTAATTTAATAATTAAATATGTGCTGTTCTCCTTTTTATTTTTTAATTTTTAGTATAAACTCAACAAAAATAAAAATATTTTTTCTAATTTTGTGCGATAATACAATTGAATTTTCTTAGGCACCATAAACTTTCGAAAAATCTTAGAGTTATTAACACCGCCTAATTCGCAAGATAAAATTAATTAGAATAACACTTTAATAGCACCATAGACGAGTGAATTAATTAAATTTCGAAAACCGATTTATTTAATAAATTTTCAATACTGAAACTTATTAAAATTTTTACGCGTAATTAAAAGAATCATTTTTTCGTTTTTTTTTTGTTTGAATTGACGTTTATGCACGTAGCCCTGCTTAAAACCTTTTACCAAAAACTATTTGTAATTTCCATACATACATAAATATGTACCAGTGCACATATTTAGAATTTAGTTTGAAAAAGTTCGTGCCAAACGCTATTTTTAGCGCAAACCATCTGGTTAGTGATGTAGTATTTACATTTTATTGTTTATTGGATATTCAAAATTATAATTACATATGTAATAATTAATTAGTTATTATTTAATTGAAGCCAAAATTTTTCCATAATTATTTATGTAAATATTGTTTTAATTTTTAGTTTAAAGTTTTTAGCTACGTACGTACTTTGCTTACTTTTGGTTATATTTCCGATTAGGTCACCGCTCTGACAATTTATACAGAAATGACAAAAAACAATAAAAAAAGTGAAAATTTAAAAAACAATTTTACAAATTAATTCCGATTTCGGGATTTAAGATTAAATTTAAATTTTTAAATTTTAATATCTATCTTTGGTATTAAATATTTAATTTTTATCCAAGTTGTTTTTGACTAAAATCGAAAATTTTGATTTTAATTAAAATTACTATTATTAGATTATTTAAAATTATAAATTTAGTTTTTATTATTAAATCTTAACTTTTTAATTTAAATTTTAGTTATTAGTTTTTTATAACAATTTTTTTATTAAATTATTAAAAAGTGAAAATTTAGTTTTCAATTTAAATATTTATTAATACCAAAATCGGAAGTGATATTTTTTAATTTCAAAATTAGAGTAACAGTTAAAAGATTACTTTTCAAAATAAAAGCTTGAATGAAAATGGATTAAAAAAGGAAATATTTACATATTTCTAACTGAAGCAATATAATAAAAAGCAATTACATACAAATAAGACAAGAAGTTTGAGCTACTTGAAATGTTATTGAAAATAAGTTTTCATTTTATAATGATAACCAAATCGCCGTCGTTTGAAAAATTTTAAATTCCAGAACAATTTCTGTTTTTTTTTTATTATAAATTATAAACTTAGGATTAACATTTTATTCTTTTTCGGTCTGGTATGTAGGATTAAAATGTGTTATTATTATTTTTCAATCCTGTATTTCGCATTAAAAATTTAATTTTTGTTTTTATTATTTTAATTTTATTTACGATTTTCGGGAGAAGAAAATAAAAAAGTTTAATTCAAATGATATTTCAATTATTAAATAAAAATTTTTATTCCGTTATTTGGGTTTAGAAATTTAAAAACTAAAAAAATTTTAGTTACTATTTTCTGGAGTACAAAAATAAT